TCAAAATACTCAAAATATTTAGCAGCCTGATGCGGGAGAGTAGGCGGACCCAATCAAATGTAAGTTTCTGGCTGCAGACACCGAGAGTTTTGGCTGCCTGCAAACCTGGGTCATGGACTATTTCTGGCCCAGGGAGAAACACAAGCCAATAGACAAGCCAATCCCATTCGGGGTCAGTGGAGAGGGTGCGTGGGGAGAGTATTTGACGGGCCTTTCTCATACTGAGTTGGGAACTGCTTTCTAACTGGGACACAAAGACTGTACTCATGGGTTTCCGCCTCACCAATTCTCCCCCATGAATGTGTTCCTCTTGGCCAGGACACGGCCATCCCGAAATTCTACAGCGAGAGAAGGGCACTCAAGCTAGGAGGGCATGATCGCGCCGGTCATTCCGTGTTGGAATTGCTCATTTCAGATGGGATGACACAGCTCATTGAGTCAGGCAACAAGAGACCCGGAATTACCCGGTGGTGGGCACGCAGCTAAGACCCAGGCTTTCGCTTGACTGGGATTCTGGCACCGCAGGTGGCGACAGTTACCACGTCTGTGAGGAGTAAATCACACATATTAAATTTACTTTCAATCTCGGAGGTAACAGTGCAAAACTTCTCACAGCGTAGACCGTCCGGCAGTTCTTGAGACGGTTCTAGTGCTCACTGGCCACTGCCGCTTTGCGGTGCGTCCCGGGCGCAGGCGGCCACACCTGCATTTATCTGAGCCCCGTGTCTGTGTATTTTACTCTCGCCCAGAAGAACAAATGCTTAATCGAAGTTTTAGGGTCCTTTAAAAAAGAACATATGCCATACGGGTCTGTTGTCTAAGCTCTACATTGGGAACTTACATCGAAGCAGTTGACACAGCACTTCCTTGACCATGGCAGGGTAGGAGACCACCGGGCGGGACGTTCGGTCTTGGTCTTCTCTTTGCCTCTCATTTTTTGGGAAAGTAATATCGTTGTTGGAAAAGAAGTTAAATTTTCCTGGGCCCCAATTTATCAATCTGTAATTTAGGATAATTTTAATGAATTTGAGCTCGGGTCCCATTAACAATAACATACCCTATTGCAATTTTAAACATTCATCTGTAACAGTACTTTCCCAAATCTTCACACCAGTTGGGAAGCGCGATTTATATTCTGTTGACAGGAAACCTGACAGAAGTCCCATGTCCTGCCTTAGGCCACATACAGGGAAATGGCCCCGGAGAAGTTGTCACCGGTTCCTGTCTCCGTCCACTGCAATCGCACGATTCACTGCGATTAAGGTGCGGTTATTGGAAGAGAGAACTTTCTCAGCTGACACAGTGTCTGAAAGCGTGAGATTCCGTAGAACCTTTTTATAATGTTTATGTCCCAACGTATGTGGTTTCGCGCACGTGGGGTGCCCCCGGATCTCTGCACTAGATTGTCCTTGTTCTGACTCAGTTCCCCTCTGTGTAGGACAGACAGACTTGAATAGCAGTGACTTGGGAGCACACACTCTGGCTGCCCAGACAAGGGACCAGCTCAGTGTGCTCCCCACTTCTAGTCAGGGAGGCTGCACCCAAAGTCAGCTGCCTAAAGGGGTCCGGCTCCCTCCCTGTTCCTGGACTCCCAGACGATGCTGTAGACAGCTGACCCCTGCGCCAGACACCTGGTGCCCTAAGGGTGATTTTCCCCACTGACCAAGCCACTCTCCTTGCCCTGTGAGAATGGAAGAAGCAAGGGGTTCCTTGGAACACACACCTTGATGCATTCAGCACAACAGCCTGGCTCCACATCTCTGAAGGTTGATGGCCCTGGGGGACATGTATCTTCTCTTCACTTGATGATCCCTGCTCCCCAGGGCTGCCAAGTGGTATAATTTGACCGAGACCTGCTGCATAGCAGGTGGAGAACAGGAAGGAACCTATTTTCCAAGGTCTGTTTTCATTCCTTAAGATTCATTTGGAATAATTAAGAATTGCAGTGAGAACTACATAATTAAGAACTGCAAGCAGCAATCTGATGTTCTATATTCCATGTAATTCTCACAAAATCTGACAATGCAAGATTTATTTTTATGATGCAGACAATAAGTCTTAGTTTTAGAACTGTTAAATCCTCCCTGAAAAATAGCAAATCTGGGCCCAGATATCAAGTGTCCCAGCTCCAAGTCTTGCTCTTTGTCCCCTGCCCCTGACAGTTTTGGAACACACCTCTAGAAAAACTCATTCCAAAATATTGAAAGCACCCATGGAGGGAGTCCTTCGCCCAGTGCTGGTGAATTCAAAGACTGATAAGACATCACCAAAAACTTTCTTTCTTGTGCCAAATAGGGAAGGTCATCTTAATAACTATTTATTATAAACATATTCATCATACTTTCTGTCTGCTCAAAGTACAATGCCTCCATTATGAGACATTAGACACACTTCAAAAAAGCAAAGTGGCGAGGATGCGTTAGCTGCGACTCAGCCAGAAGGAAACAAGACAGCAGCAGTGTCTGAGTCTCTGAGTAACTGTGAAAAGTCACGATCCAATCGGACCCTGCCAGAGGGGTGTGTGTGAGCGCGAGGTTGCTTCTCCCTGATCTGAATTCAGGTGTGTTCTTGGAAATGTTTTCAGATGCAAATGCATTTCTCTATAGTCTACATGTCTTATCGGTGATCCTACTAATGGTGTCCCTCTGGGTTTGGATATGATGTGATGCTGGTGCCTCAAACTTAATATTTTCACAGCTGAACGCATCATCTACCCACTCCAAGCTCTATCCCTTAGCCTGATATATGACCATGCTTCCAGTCCATTTCTGGGTGCCTGACGGGGAGCCCACCCCGTCTCCTCTTTTTCTTCTTGAATAGCCATAACTATCAAGTTCTGTACATATCACTTCCAAAGTATCTCATATACATTTCCTCTTCTCCATGGTTTTGCCTCCGATGTCTTTCAAGGGCTATCATGGCAGCCTCCGGCCCCTCTCCCGCCTCTCCCATCAAGCCTCCTCCATGGCTTGTTGTAGATAAATACAAACTCTTACTGCCCCTAAAAAGAATGGAAGCTCTAATGTGATACCTCCTACATGCTTAGCCTTACTGTGGCTCTCCTTTCTTCTCCACATCATGTTCCGGAGCTACTGTTCAGACGTTCCCCAACCTGATCACGCGTGTTCATGCCTCTCCTCCAAGACCACCTTGAAGGAGGAGTGTGGCGGCAACCTGTCTCTGTCTAGCATGCCTCTCTGTGAGGACTCTCCCAGCTCTTCCCTCCACTGCCTCAGTTAGACTTCAGTGTGCGTCCTGCAATGTCTTCAGCAGAGCACGGAGTGTACTACCTTGTCTACCTGTGGGTGGCGTTTTCCCAGCACCGCGAGGACAGAGAACGTGCTCTATTTGTCCTGGCATCCCCAGCACTTAGCGTGCAGTCTGACCAGAATGAACGCCATGGATGCATGCACCCTGTTTTCCTTTCCCGAATGTCTCCGTGCTCCTCCATGGTAGGAGTCACGGAACAGCGTGGGGTGCCTGGCCGGAACCATCCGTGACAGCTCACGCCTGCAGCCAGGGAGGCTGCCCCCAACCCGGGCTTCCCAAAGGGCAATGAATCTGGGAGTGTCTTGGGACTTGCTGAAGGACACACAAGTATAAAACGGGTCCACAGAGCATAAATCAGGGCTGGGACGCTCATGATTGCCATTCGCTTATCTCACCCCTAGATGAGTCCCTGGCGCAGAGGACTTCCACCAATATTTGCTGAGTGAATGACGGACAGAATGAACGACTGACCCATGGCAGGAAGAAGAAAGTTAACTTCATTCAGCTGGCCTTCTGACTCCATTTCCCCGACTCCCAGTCTTTGTATAGACGGTGTGCACGAACAGCTTTCAGACACAATGAAGAATGGGATGCCATGCTTTTCTCTTTACAATATGCCACAGTCAGAGAATAATAATAGCGATTTACATACATACATACATACACACATCATACATACATGCATACATGCATGCATGCATACACAGAAACTAAGTCACGGCAATAGGTAGCCTCGGTAATTCATTTACCAAAAAATAAGAAAAAAAGCCTTTGAAAGATAGGTTGACACCCTACAAAAATGTATCCATAACTTTAAATCAGAGTTAGTTTACAGTTAACTGGTGGACTAAACTTGTTTTGTAAATTGCCTTCTAAATAGTGCAAAACGGAGGCCACCCCAGTGATTTGGGGCTGGTCCTGCGAAGACAGGCTGGGCCGCGCTCTCTGCCGCCACCTGGAGGCCGGCGGGAACAGAGCGCCTCTCCGGGTCTGCAGCCCCGACGCAGGTGCCTGCGGGCTGGGTGCTCCGGGAAGAACCTGCTTAGGTGTGCGGTCTTCACCTGCGCTTCCCGGGCCTCCGTCTCACACGGAGTGACAGCTGACTTTATCTTCATCTGTCACTGACACAAACCCCGCCACTCACTGCGCAGCAGGACAAAAGCCAGTCGAGGGATGAAAGAAACCCCAAACAGATCTTTCTGGAACGGATGTCTATCCAAGTTCTACACCGTTCAGGGTGTGAAGAGGAAGGAGAGCAGCAAGCACTCCGGCTGAAGACAGGAGCCAAGAGCGGTTCCCCGTCCCTCCCCCACCCCGTCCTTTTCCTCGTCCAGCTGCCCAAAGCAAACGTGGCAGGAGGTGGACGCACTAGCCCTCGGTGGCGCGACTGTGGGCGCTCTCACGGGCCCCCACGTGGGCTCCCACCCGTGCCACCCCCTCCACAGCTACAAAGCACACTGTCTATACTGCAAATCACCGCCCGCTCCTCGGCTCGCTTCCCTCCTCTCTGGATAATAAGTGGACACGTCCATTATGGGCCGTCTGCTTTTCGATGCACACCCTTGCAGCCCTGACCTCCTTCTGCTTTTGTGTTTTCCCAACGCTCTTGACATCTGTGCTCTGGGTGAGTTCCAAACCTCCCGAACCTGTCCCCGCGTGACCCCGGCACTTTTCGGACTGGCCCGCTCCCGTTAGCGGCCGGGAAGCGCGGGAGGGCCGCGCACACTCACCACTGCTTGTAGTCCGCGTCGCAGTTGCAGTAGTACTTGGGGTCCGTGCAGTTGCGCTCGATGCCGCAGGCGCATTTCTGAATTCCGGGCCCGGAGCCGCCCCAGTAGTAGTGCTTCTCGTTGGCTCTGCCGACCCACCAGGTGTAGGGACTTCCGTCTGCGAGGGAGGGGAAGGCACGTTGAGACAGGAGTAGGCATGAGTCAGGACAACGGCTCCCTTCCCCCACCTTCTTCGGACAGACCGAACATCGCTTACCCCTCTTCGAAGTGCATGCATTTCCATAATAGGAACGTTTAATTAAAAAGCAGGGGGCCCTGGCTGGTTTGGCCCAGCGGTGAGAGAGAGGACCTGTCCAACAAAGGGTCGCAGGTTTGGTTTCTGGTCAAGGGCACGTGCCTGGGTTGCAGGTTCGATCCCCTGGCCCAGTCGGGTCATGCGGGAGACAACCAATCAATGCGTCTGTCTCACATGATGTTTCTCTTTCCCTTTCTCTCTCTCTCTCTCTCCCTCCTCCCTCCCTCTCTCCCTCCCCCTTCTCTCCCCCCACTCCCTTCCTCCCTCCCTCCTTTCCACTCTCCCTAAAAATCAATGGGAAAATATCCTTGGGTGAGGATTAACAACAACAAAAATAACAGAGGGACCTGTAAGGTCAAGTTTTCCCAGCAGGATATGTACCCCTTTCCTTAGAAGAAACGTTTACAGTCAAGCTTCTGTAACTTAGGAGTCTGTTCTGTGAACTGGCTGTCCAGATGGGGTACGTCCACAGTGGGGGCATATTGGTACCCCGTGATTCTGTAACAGAAACCCGTTCACGACTTGCTGTGCTTTTCTGTGAAATAACAGTCATGGAGGTTGTAGAATATTAGAGCGAAACGTGGACTTTCGCTGTGTCTCAGTAGGACCACCTTAGTTTACAGGTAAGGAACTTGGGTCTAGAAAAGTTAAGTGATTCTTTCAATCACACGGATTAGCTTCCAAACCAGAAGTTCGACACTATATCTCACAAGACATTGTACAATGCTCTTTATACAACAACATACTTTCCTTCAGTATTTGGCCATCCATCCATCCATCCATCCATCCAATCATCAAACATCCACTGAGTTTCCATTATGCGTCAAACATTATAAGAAACTCAACAGAATGAGGGAGGAGAAAGATACAGACTGAGAATACATCTTAATAAGTACTGTGAACACAGAGGAGGATGAGCGAGAGAAAGAGGCCATGAAGGAAGACTTTCTAGAAAAGTTAAAATATTTGAGCTCCATCTGGAAGGTTGAGTGGGTGTCACCAGGTGACTAAGGATGTACAGGTAAGGGCTCCCACGATCAACTTCTGTATGGAAAGTTAGACAGGAGTATGTACATCTGTGGTGGAATGGGCTGACGAGACATGTTTGAGAGGAGAGCAGGAGTTGGTGGTAATAAATAGTAGATAAAGACCCGGCTGGTGTGGCTCAGTGGTTGAGCGTTGACCCATACACCAACAGGTTGCCGGTTCAATTTCTGGTTGGGGTGCATGCCCAGGTTGTGGGCCAAATCCCCAGTAGGGGGCATGCAGGAGGCGGCCAATTGATATTGTCTTCATGGATGTTTCTATTTCTCTCTCTCCCTCTCCCTTCCTCTCTTTCTCGCAAATCAATAAAGAAGAAGAAGAAGAAAAAAGTAGCTAAAGGCCACATCACAAAAATAACCTTTTCCAAATAAGAAACTGTTTTGTGTTGGTTTATTCTTGCTTTATACTGTTCATTTCTCCCCTATTTAAGATGGTTGAACTTCATCCTGTAAGTAATGGGAAACAGAAAGAATTTCGAGCAGGGATTGTGATTACATTTGAGGTTTAAAAGATACAGTCAGATGAACGGCGGGTTTCAGGGGGATGAAGTCGGGGCGGCCCGAAGAGAAAGAACACAATAGTAGTGGGAAAGGAGAGGAAGAGAAACAAGAAAGAGGCTAAGGAGGTGTAGCTGGTTTGGGGCGGCTGGGATTCGGGTGGGGGAGAAGGCAGGAAGCGGGTGTCCTGGGCTCATCCTAGGTTTCCGGCTCAGGTGACTAAGAGGATGGGGATGTGCTAAACCGAGGTAGGTGACAGGAAGGTGAGACATCTAGGGGATGTCGAAGAAAGGGTGATGAGCTAGACACATGAAACAGGGACTGACTATGGTAGTCTGGATCACAGGAGCATTTTCTGGGCTGGGAATCCCATTTTAGGAGCCATCAGGGGGGTGAGAAAAACGCTTTAGGATCTGTTAGATTCCAACAGCGTTCAGGCAACAGGAAGAGAGGGGGGTGGTTGGCCATAGTGGAGGGTCAGAAAGAAAGTAGTCAAAGAGAGTGAAGGAAAAAATAACTAGGAAAGAATTTCTGAAAGAGCAGTGTGTCAGCATGGTCTGTTTCACCGCAGAGCCCATTGAGATGAGGATTTACAACAAAATAGGACCAGAGACATGGAACCGACGGACAGATCTCAGAGGGGACGGGGATGGGAGGGATGGGAAGAGATTGACCAAAGAACTGATGCGCATGTAGGCACAGCCCATGGACACAGACAACAGTGTGGTGAAGGACTGGGGTGGGGTGGGGGCAGAGGCTGGGTGGATGGGGCAAAGGGGAGAAAATGGGGAACATCCATAATAGTGTCAACAACAACAACAACCAAAAGAATCTAAGTTTAAAGAAGGAGATGAGCATGTACACTTTGTCTTTTATCTTACAGCTCAAAGGTTTTGCGGAGGGGAGTTTCACGTAGAATTGGGGAGAAGCAGCCAGGGAGCAGCAGGGAGGGTGGGGGGTGAAAGAGGAGAATGAGCAGCTCCGAGAATGATATTGTCCCAGTATCTGTGTGAGCGCTGGAAATAAACAGGAGGAAAAGTCTTGCCCTCGATCAGTTGCCATGGGAACGGTCACACCATCTAAACCACTGACACACTGAAGTAAGGGCCAGGCTGGGTGATGTAAAAACTGCAGCAAGACCCCTCAGATCTGCTAAGTCTTCCTGAGGGACGACGTTGTTAAAACGCGGGCCACTTAAAGTCACGGAGCGGTGACCCAGGTTCGGCTTACTAAGGCTCTGAAACTGGGAAGGAGGTGTTCGGGCCTCCCCCACTTCACAACAACTCTGCGTTTTCCGGTTGCATTGACTTTTTTTTTTTTTTTTATCCTCACCCGAGGACATTTTTCCATTTTTTGTTCAGGTAGAGTGGGAGGGAGAGAGAGGAACAGAGGGAGAGAGAGAAACATCGATGTGAAAGGAACACATCAAGTGGCTGCCACCCGCACAACCAACCAGGGCTGGGGACAAACTGCAGCTGAGGTACGTGCCCTTAGCGGGAACCGAACCCGGGTCTCTCAGGACCACAGGCCGACGCTCTAACCGCTGAGCCAAACCGGCCAGGGCCATTGACTTTTTTTAACAGGTCAACAAGTACTTTTTAAAAATTTTATTCTGTTGTTGTTTCACTCATTTATTTATCTTTATTGTTGAAAGTATTACAGATGTCCCCCCTTTTATCCCACTGACCCCCTCTTCCCTGCTCCCCCCTCCCCCCGCTTTGACTTAATTTTGGAAAAGTTACTATTTTCCCTTGGTGTGACCATTAATGACACCTAGATTTCTAATAAATAGGTTTGATGCCATCTCGTGAGCACGAGAGAGGGAGACTTCAGCGCCCTGTTCCGAAGGCAGGGAGAGGCCAGCTCCCGGGTGAGGCCCCTCTGCCCCCTGCCTCTGTCCAGCTGGGCCTCGTCCCAGCATTCAGCGGGCCACGTCTGAGTCCTCCATGCGGTTCTTTGGCTTCTCCCTTCTCTTTCCATCGGAGTAAAGAGAAAAGCATCCACCTTCTGATGCTTCCCAATGTTGCAACACAATGAATAAAAACTTCTCTTTTCTTTTGATGCAGTCAAGAGTTAAAAATAAAATAAAATAAAATAAAATAAAGCTTAAGAAGTCCCATTTATGGAAACTATGAAACCTGAGCCAAGTCATTTGGCCTGTGAGCTGCATGAGGTCCCTGCGGCTCCCGTCACTGGTCAGGTTACAGGAAGAAGCCAAGGCGGCGGTGCCCCCTGACCTTGCAAAGGCCCCTGGCATTGTCCAGGCCACCACCTGCCCCTGGAAATGTAGACGCATGCCCAGCCTGCTTAGCTCATCATTACTGCACTCCGTCTTTTCCAGCTGACCCGATGCTACGCTCTGTTTCCTAGGAGTTTGGGGCCATCACGATTGCTGGAAGCTAGCAGACACACAGCTGGGGAGGAGGGGAACGGATCCAGACATCTGGAGGAGCGGAGTTAGTGGGCGGTCTGATGGGAAGCTCCTTCGTCCTGTCTGCACCTCAAATAACCAAGGAGAGGACGCAGCTCAGAACCTCAGCTCCATTTCCCATGATCCCTCCAGGGACTAGAACAATCCACCAAGGTTGGCGTTTCATTACGGAGAGCGATGGTACACTACGACCCGAAGGAGCTGGCTCAGTGTTCTTCGTAAAAATCAGAATGGTGTCAGAGAAGCAAAGGTCTCAGCCTCTCCTCCAGCGTGAGACTGAGAAATGTGCTAGAGGGGAAGCAGCGAGGGGAGCCACATTCCCACCAGCACCTTCCGGGAGCAGGACAAGCCAGGAAAGGAACCACCTTGTCAAGATGCTCGCACCATGGGTGTTCCAGTAGGAGCCTGAAGCTGTGCATGGGATGCAGGCTCTGAGCTCATCCCACGGGCAGACCTCAGTTCCCTGGGGGGAGGGGGTCTTACTGGACACCAGGACAGGATCCCACGGGAATCTGTGCAGTGACATTTTCTTTATTCACCGCAAGCAGCGGACACACCCGTGGCCGGTCAGAGTAGCCCCGTTTCCCATTTTTCCCGCCATCCCCCACCTCTTTCTTAAATCACAATTCTTCAGTCTTATCTCACGAATGGCCCCAGTTAGGGGGACGCAAAGTCACTGCTATTTTGTTTTCCTTCCTGGGAAAAGGTGTGAAGTACGGCGCAGTCAGGAACACATAGTCCCGGGAAACAGCACATTGCATCTTGAGTTATGGCGCTGGCTCATATGGTTTAAATCAAACCACCATCCTCGAAATAAATGATTAATTTGGTGTGTATTTGGTATTCAGCAAGAAGAGAATGACTCAATTTTCTTTGAGCAGAGAATCACC